CCTGCTAACATCTGCACCATGTGAGCAATCCGCGTGCCTCGCGATCAAACGGTCCAGATCTCATCTTGCACGCGTGAACAACCCATATGCATTCCCTCTTTAGACGCAATTGAACGGTCATATTCAATATGATCGTGTGACCCATATTCATTCTCCGATTAAGATAGATCCAAGGGACGAGAGAGGGTCACGTGTTCTCGAACAAACGACCTAGATTGACACGAAGAGGGTATTTAAACATCGCATTTCAGGGAACCCTAACCCTACCTACACCAGCTCTCGCCAAAGAAGAAGAACCAGACGTAGGAGAAGGAGGTCGACCACCGCCACTGTTGCACCGGAGCCGCCATTGTTGTCGCACCGGAGCTACCGTCAATCGCCAAAAAAGGTAAAATTTTCTCCTTTTTACTCGAAATTCAATTCTGAGCCTCACCGTGGCCATATCAGAACCAAAAGGGCGGCGGGTGAGCCAAAAACTGCGGGTAAAATCTAGTCGAGCTACCGTAGCCAAAATCTAAAACACTCTCCAATGACCACCTTCTCGTTTTCCATTTCACGCGATTCTTTAACCATCTTATTCACCATCTCTTTCTGGTACAAATTAGCCGAAGAAGAACCCCAGCCGCGAAAAAGGACCGGCGAAGCCATCGCACTTGTAGCCACCCCCCCCCCCTCCCGGCCAATAAGTGTCAGGTTTTTTATTTTTTTGGCCAACCAAGGCTTCCTAACATATTTTTTGCAGGGATACGTGTAAAATCAGCCAAACTGAGGCGAATTTTTGTCGTGTCAGAACCCTAAAATTTGCCAAAAAGGTTTTTCAATACCAATTTTGGTCTTTTGGGGTTTTTTAGGTACGTAACAAGTATTTTAATTTTTGCATGGAAAATTCAGGAAACTCGATGACTGTCAGGATGTGTAGTAGACAGCACAACATCTCAAAACACTGATCTAGGTAAGAATTCCTCACTCTATTCCCTATTACGGTAAATTGAGACTTAATAATCATATATCTTGTGTTTTGTGAAAAATTAAAAAAATTCTGAAAATAATTATAGGTCACTAGTGGAGCTGAAACCGGTAAATTCATATTTACCCTGATTCACTGTTTATTTTCTTGTACTGCTTGAATTACCTACTTTTATATTAAGCGTATTTAATTGATGATTTTCATTATTTTTTCGGTTATTTGGTTTACTTCACCGCACACTTTCGTGTTGGTCTGTTTTGAAATAAAATATCTCAATTATGTTCTTACTGTACATATCGTCTGCTTGCATAACCTACTATTGATTTGTGAATACGAAATGTTAGTATGAAATTGACGATTAATTGATGATATAGATATATGTATGAAAGGTTTACTGGTACCCTGAGAAAGGGTGGATGGACCTATACATAGGGATCCCTACTGTTGACATTACCTCAGCCGAACGGGAGTGAGAAGTCTCATACTGGAAAGGTTTGAGAGACATGATTCACCCTTATATCAGGCGGGGTATCAAGGCAATGGTATGTTTGGCGCTCATTACCAGACGGAGAATAGGGACGGCCGGGTTAACTAACAAATCTATATATTTGGTTCATGAATATGGAAATATCCCTATGGATCCCTAATGGTTCCAATAAGCAGGTTGCTAATCTTGTTCACTTGTACATGAAACTGAAATGTTATATGGGGATTTGTCTCCATAGGTTGATTTTAAAAAACTCATGACTGTAAATCATAATGTTATCTGAGTCTGTAAATCATAATATTATCTGAGTATTTGTTTTTATAGGTTGATTTTAAAAAATTCGCAACGATAAGTATGGAATAAACAGTTTTCTTTATATTAAAAGAATCTACTTAAATGAAGGGCTCCATTAGTTATTTTAAGATTTTTACCAACCTTCGGGTTCTCATATCAGTTATCAGCGTGATATTCTTACTGGGATAGTATAGCTCACTCTTCTAGTAGCCATTTTAGATGAAGAAGAACAAGATTCAGATCCTAATTAGTATGAAGGTTGTGAGTAGATTACCTCTCAGACCCCATCAAGTGTTAGTAGATGTTAACCCCCTCAGGACATTTATTTACTTGTTTTTAATCATTTATCCGTTTCTTTTTATGAACTGCTGTAGAAGGTACATTCTCGTATCTCTATTGAACATTTAAATATACTATGTAAGGAATGTAATCCTAATATTATTTTTTGCTTTTGCATCTAAAAATACAAATTCATTTCCTTTAAATTTCGGACTTTTACAAATTGTCTTAAAATAACTAATTCATTTTATGAGCACTCAAATAATGTAAATATAATGTACTTGGTCAAATATTGGTCCCCTTTAGTTTCACATAATACAAAATATTCGTAACTTTCTATATGTTAAATCATTAAATTTGAGAAAGGGAGGGCTAATTAATTGATTTCCAACTTGTTGCATCATTTTCCACTTTAATTTTCCGCCCAAAAAAGAAAAATAAAAAAGAAAAAGAAAAAAATCTTCAATGGGATCATTGGCCCACTCTTTAATTTTATGATACAATTAAGTCAAGTAAGGTAATCAAACTAATACACGATTATGATGGTGTATATGATGTTTTTGGTGTTTTTACATTGAATGGAAAATATGTTGAAGCATAATAATAGTCTTCCATATTTTCTACTATTAGAATTTTCCCCTCCACAATATGTCTCCATTATAAGTTATTTATTTCTAAAAATATTTCGATATTTATTGATATTACATAACTGACTAGTGTTTATTATTTTTTTAACCATTAACATAATATACATAATAATAGTTCTAATAACTATCGAATTAAAGATTTTTACGATCACTAGTGCCCCTTTGATTTCCACATGTTGCCAAATATGCCCGATTAAATTTGTTTTTAGATGCAACAACATATGTAGGAAATTGAATATTAAAAAATTTTATGATGGTGTGATAATAAATGTAACATATGTAATAAATTAATATCTCTGTGGTACATATTTAGAGTAATACAAAAAATAAAAATGAAAAATAGATTAAAAAAATAATAAAGAAATAATGATTATGTTAGAAATCTAAAACTATATAATTGTATAAGTTAAAACCATATAATTGCACTGCATGTCAGACATTGATCATTTGTTTGTACTGCTGTACTACCAGCCAGCTGTATTACAACTTTAAATTGAACAACTACCAACTAAACTAACAAATGCCTTGTTTGGAAACTAAACTAACCCTAACTTAATTTCTAACTAAAATTTATATTTATTTTAATTGTGATAATTTTTAAGAAAAAAATTAAAAACAATATATTTAAATTAAATTAATTTAATAAAATTGTCTAATATATCATTTATTTGTTCCAAACATAGATTAAGGGTAAATTTACAAACAAATTTCATTTATTAAGAAAGTAATTAAAATTAATTTTCATTTGACTTAATTTTTTACACCTTTTTCCAATATTTCATTCTTCTTTTTTTCTTTCATCTCTCTCTCTAATTTGGAAACGTAGCGTAATTAAGTAGCTTAATCTCTGTTTAATCATAATTGAAAAAGAAAAAGACTATGTCTAAATAAAGTCTTTTGACAAGTCGAACCAACACCCCACAAATTGACAATGGATTAGCTAAGTTTTGTTTTATTTGATTTTCTTTCTATTTTTAAAATAAAATTCTTAATTTAATTGTTTAAATGTTTGTTTTCTAAATTTAATGATCAAACTACATAAATTATCATATCACTACAAATTACTCATATTAATCATATTATTACCGTATGTATACATATATATATATAAGTATACATTTAAACAAGTTTATCCATAATTATATATCCGGTTCTAGTTTGAACTGAAAACAGCTTCATGGAACGCTTCAAATTCTAAATTAATTATTTGTACACGGACTAAAGACCAAGTAGACCATTTTTTTTCCTAAAATTTCTTTTAATTAAAAAATTAATTGAAATTAAGGCCAATAATGAATTCATAAATCATTCATTTAATTCATAATTAATTAAACTAATTGAATAATTTAGTTACTTATTAAAAGAAAATAAATTAACTTTAAAAAAAATTAACATTAATAAACGAACAAAGAAAACGAACTACAAGTACCAACCGGCCAGCGCATTATGTGAGAAAAGCCAGCCCAGAAGCAGCACAACGGCCGGCTATTAGTTTTACTATTTTCCAAAATTCTATTTCTCTCCCCCTGTAATTTCCTATTTAGTTTTCTCTCCCTAAATTCTTTCTTATTTACATTTTTGGTCTTCTATATAATATTATATATTATATATATATATATATATATATTATCCACCGTTGACTCCGCCGGGTGACTCACATCACAGAGCATGCATTGGGGTTCTCGTCACTGAACATCTGCGGCGCGTGTAAATGTGGTTGGTGGTCCATTGCGTATCCATGGTAAGCGTACCCTTGATTCACGTTAACATACCCTTGATGCGGTGGGTACACCTGCATCGCTTGATTCTGACCGTACCCGTGTCCGTCATACCAATACGCTGGTTGTGGTAGATATGCTGGATAATACTCCATCTTGTTCACCTCCACCTTGGGAGCACTCTCCTTCTTCCCACCATCACCACCGCCGTCTTTCTTCTCTCCGCCGCCGGCGGCTTCTTTTTCCTTCTTCTCGCCTGCACCGCCGTCTTTCTGCCCGCCGGCCGGAGCTGCGGCGGCGGGCTTGTCGTCCTTCTTAGCTCCTTCATCTTTCTTGGGTAGTGCTCCGTCGTCTTTCTTCGGTGGAACCACCTCCACATTTCTCTTGAGCTTACCCTTGAGATAAGGAACCAGCTCGTTGACCTCCATTATTCCCTTCACCGTCACTAGATCCTTGCCTCCCTCTATCGTCACCATCGCCACACCTGTTAATTTTAACATTATCGTTAGTTAACCTCGAATTATTATTAAATTAATCAGCTACCTAATCTTCTCTCCCCATTTTTTAATTAAAATTTACGTAGTTTGATTGATTAAGAAGCTTCAGTGCTTGCATCATCCTGAGAGTCTCAGGAGATTACTTTAATCACTGTTCAGAGTATTACTTCAACTCAGTTTAGTATAATATAACCTTAACTAAAAAAATGAACGATCTCTCTCACCTTTGATCTTTGAGATGATCCTTTTGATTTTCTGAATGCATCCGTCGCAGTGTAATCTGATCTTCAGAACCACCGTACTCTGTTTCACCGGAAAATTCAACACAAATTAGCTGTGCATGCCGCTTAAATTCAGCAACATTCATTAATCAAACAAAACCATTCAACAAGAAATCGATGGATGGAACGAGTTCCCACATGGCTAACAGGCGCCGCATGCAACGGCGAAAAGTAGCTAAACGAATGGAGAGAGGAGTAGAAAGAGATTCATGTACCGCATACCTCTTTGGGGGTTTTTTTCTCTTCCTCCTTCTTTTCCTCTTTCTTCTCCTCCGGCTTCTTGTCTTCTTTTTTCTCGTCGGGTTTTTTGTCGTCTTTTTTAGGCTGAGGAGAGATAAGGTCTACTTTCTTCTTCATTTTCTCCTGCAATTTCTGTTGGATTTTAGCTGGGTCCACCTTCCCAACCACCGTCAGTTTGTTGGCTACAGTGTCTGCCTTCACATCTTCCACACCTTCACCAGATTAACAACGAAAATTCATGTTAGGTGTGGTTGGAAATTGGAATTTTCTTCACGCCAATTTTCATGAATAAACACCATTAATCAAAACTCTAATTATGTACAGAAACCCTCTTTTATCTGCAATTCTTGTCCAGTCCCAATTTCTTACGCTTTGAATACAAAAATTCAACGGATCACTTTTCCTTTTTAAAACAAATACTCCATATTCAGATTTCATTTATCAATTGTAGAATATATATACAATAACAGGCAGGATCCGAATATGTATTCAATTTTACGAGCAACGACATCATTAATTAAGGTGGAAATTAGGAAATTAGGATTGACTACATTTCCAATATGATTAGATGAAATTTTAAATTCACCTGGATAATGCTTCATGGCACGCTTGATCTTCTTAGCGCAACCCTCGCAATGCATGTCGATCTTAAAAACGGCGGTGACAGAGGCGTCCTCCTTCTTGACGGCGGCATCGGCGGCCTTCTTCTCTCCGTCGACCTTCGGAGCTTCCTTTTGCTGCATCCACATGGAAACCAGAAATGCGTCAACATAATCAGCCTAACTTATTCCATTAATTAAAAAACGACGAGAAAAGCGAGAACAGAGAGATAAGCGATGTGATGTACTGGAGAAGATGAGAAGACAAGAGAGTGTGGGAACTGACCTCGCCCATTTGAAATTGTTAATTTTAGGTTTGGAGAATTTGATGGTTCTCAATTACAGAAGAGACTTGTTTGAAGGTAAGAAATGAAGGCAAACGGTGTGAATATATAGAAGAGGATGGTTTATGTGACGTCATGGTATGGTATGGCATGGCATGGCATGGCATGGATGGTATGTTTAATGTTTATGTTTATGATGGTTATGCATGTGATCTTGATGGTGATGCGGGAAGTGTGTGTATATGTACATGTCCACACATGATGATGAGGTCAGGATGGGTGGGCGCTGTTGCCCGCCGGGTTAGACTGATGGGTAGTCGAGAAACGAAGGCGCATGTTTTGTTACGCAGTTCAACTTTTGACTTGACTACGACCAGTTCCGTGAAATGCCTAAATTACCCTCCAGAACTTTCTGGGTTCCTAACTTCACGGGGTTTTTGTCGTTTAGTAGTAAATTTTGGAATTTTACCGTAAATTTGGCTGCTTTTACCGTAGCGTCTGTTTATGGATAATACTGTTGGCCGTTCCCACGGTAATCTTATGGGCAAACTGTGTGTTTTCTAATATTTATTTCCGTTGAGAATTTCAAAATAAAAAATTATGAAATTTATTATTTTATTTTATTTTATTTTAAATAAATCAAGCATAAAAATGTTGTTTTTATAGACGAAGTAGAATAATTAAAGTTCCTCTTTATTGCACTTGTAAAATTATTGTGAATTTTTTAATTTTTTATTAATATCCTCTTTATTTTTATTTTTTAATAATATTAATATGAACTTACGCAATAAAATTTAATTAGTACTGCATATTGTACTAATTAGAGCTAATTAAGCTTATATAAGTAGATTAAAATAGATAATATTAACTGGTATAAATACTACAATTATACCATAACAATTTTATTTTAAATTAAAAAAATTAAAAATTAAATTATTATTAAAAAATAAAAATTAAATATAAAATAATATTATAATAATGTTCAAAGAAATAAAATATTAATAGTTTATTATACTGTGCCAATAGCATATTTTTATTTTTAATTTATTTTAAATTAGAATAAAACTAGTTGAGTGAATAATTTATTTATTATAATAAAAAATACACAAAATCTCTGTCGTGTGTTAAATACGGGTTATAAATTTAAAAATTAATTATATAATATATAAATTATGGTCATTGAAAAATTAAATTCTATTTTTATATTCAAAATTTTTAAACAACTAACTATTATATACGATCAAAATTGTTTTCATAATTAAAAATTAAATAAATAATTATTAAATATTATCATATTAAATATAAAATTATCGTTAAAAAATAAAAAATTGATACGAAATAATTTTTACGTCTTTATATTATATATCTAGAGAGAGAGAGAGAGAGAGAGATAATAATTATCTCAATATGTTATAAAATTAATAAATATATATATTTTTACCCAATACTTATTTTAACTTGATCATCATAGTTTTATAAGTATAATAATAAATTAAATTTTGAGTTATGTTAAATCAAACAGACAAAAAATATAAATTCATCATGAAATCATTGCAATTAAATTTTGGAGGTATGGATATCTACTACTACTACTACTAGTCATAGTCTTCATTGCAATCAATTAATTACACTGTGTTGGATTGAATTTACAAGTCAAGCAGGTCCACTAGCATGTTTTAATTTTTGGCTGCTTTTAAGCCTAGGATTCCACTTCAAGTATAGTTAGTGTTAGGTAAATTTAACCTCCAAATTTAATCAATATCCACATTGATTGCATATTGAATCAGAAAATAACCAACATTATTCTATTTTTATCAATCATATCCTCTGGTATTATATTTTATTTAAACATTTATCCGTAATGATTACAATATTAGACATGACAATTGATTGAGTTTAAAATGTATATTTGTAAATTTTAATTTCGATTAAATTTTAAATATAAAAAAATTTGAATTTGCTTCAAAAATATGCTTTAAATATTATATAATTTTTAGATATATAAAATATAAATTCAATTTATCAAATTTATTTTATTTTGGTTCGATAAATTTCTAATGATACTCGATCTAATTTTACCCGCATGAATTATATATTATATTTTTAATTAAAAATAATATATAATTAGATAAATCGATTCAACTATATTAAATCAATTTTTTTTTTATCATCTTTACATAAATTTACGTGAGCAAAATAAGCGAAACGAATTGGTATTTAAACTAAGACATAAAATTTTAAATTTCTTAATCTAATAATTTTATTGGAACGATCCGGTTGAAGAATTTTTCTTTTACCGTAAATTCTTTATCAAAAGTTTCTCATATATCCTAAAAGCTTTGTCTACAAATAATTTCTGCTTTTACATCTATCAAAATAAATTTGATAATTTATATAAAATTAGTGTTTATGTTAAAAAATATAATTAGCACACATATGTAGAAGTTTCTGTCAAATTTTCTCTACACGTCAAAACATATTGTTGTGCATGTTTGAAATTATGAGACAGCATAAGAAAATTTACGACGGTAAGAAGTCATTTTAGGTGCTTACGATAGCAATGACGTATTTCAATTTAATCTCCAATCCCTTTGAATTTAATTTCATTTAGTGGACGCTATGATTGACTTCTACTCTTATTAATGTTTTTGGAGTTGAAACATCAAAATTTGAAGGTGACACATAAATTATGGTTTTCTAAAATAATTTAAGGATTTACCCACTATATAATTAGCAAATAAATTATTTCACAATATAAATTTTACTTAGTAACTTAAATTTAGTAACATATTGTAGGTTAATAATTTATAAAAATTAAATTTTACAAAATTTTTAGTTTACTAGGAGTCAGTTTAATTTTTAAACCATATGATGTACTATAATTAGGTTCAAAATTTTTATAATTAGAATGATTTTATAATTTTCCAATAAAGACGTTAGAAAATTTAAAATGAAATTATATATAAAGTGATAAATAATTCAGAAATTAAAAAAATAATAATAATTATCTTAAAATTTGAGGTACGATTTAATTATGTTGTCTCACAATATTGGCACGGGGGACCCGGAAAATGATGGCAAAAAAGGAAAATTATAATGTGTTTGATATTAGCAATGGGCCCAACCTCTGCACCTGCAATTCCACGTATAATATCTGAAATGACTAATAAACTTTTAACAATAATAATTACAAAACTAAAAAATAAATTGTTTTTAACAGAAATTATATAAAATATAAATTCAGCTTTTCTTTATGGGTGGGATTTCAACTCATGAAATTATAAAATTCTAATTTAAACAATTTTCATTTTATTTGATGATTTAATTATTTAATGTATACAATTTTTGGACCATAATGTATGTATTTAATGCGTAATTAAATAAATCTTTTACTCATATTTTTAGTTTTAAATAATACAAACACTTAACTACTTAAATAATAAGCAATGCTGTAATTGGGATTAAGAAGAAGAAGAAGATTATTATTTTTATCTTTTTCTTGAGTGGCATAATTGTGTCTGTGGAGGACGTACCGAGAATTACTTAGTAATGGATGTTAAATTGGTCTTTTGCTGACTTTTCTTATTTTTTTCACAGAAAACGTGTTCTTTTTATTTATTTATTTATTTATTTTTCAATTATCACTTTTATACACAATCATTGTACTGAAAAGCTTCTTTTATTATTATTATATGTAAGAGTAGTTTGTACATTAGTATATATAATTTTAAAGGTTTTGAACTCATGAAAAAGATTTCAAATTTAGCTATTTTGATATTTTGTATTAGTATTATGAGGACCCAATATGAATCTAATAAAATAAGGTGCTTGTTTTATTTTATTATTTATCATTAGAGCAAGATTTAGATAAACGTATAAAAATACCATAAAATTTTAGTAATTAGGAGAAATGATCGGATCTGAAAAATAAATTTAAGAAGAGAGGAGAAATGATAATTTAAAAGGGGTGAAAAACACTTCAACCTATGTAATGACCCTGAATTTAAAAAGGAATAAAGCCATAATTAAATGCGGAAGCGAAATAATAGAGTTTAGGATTTACATTCCTTACATAATGATTTAAAATGTCCAATAGGAATACGAGAATATCTCTTCTAAAAGAACAAATAAAAATCAAAAAAATAAATAAAAGACAAATAACTGAGTATTTTAGAACGATATTCACTAATTTTTGAAGGGAGTCCGGGTGGTGACCTTATTTACAACCCTCTTGTTGATCGGAATCTGAATCTTGGTCATCTTGATTTGAAATAGTTAATGAAATGGTGAGCTACACTAGTATAGTAAAAATATCATACTACTAACCGATACAGAAACTGAAGGTTGATAAAAATCATAAAAACAATCAATTGAGCTCTTGATTTTCGTAAATTTATTTATCATAAAGAAAACTATTTATTGCATATATTTACTACTGCGAGATTTCTAAAATCGACCGATAGAGATATAATAACTCAAATAACATTCTAATATCATTTTCAAGTGAGCAATAACAACCACTTTCCTTTTTCATTTGCCTACTGGTATCCTTGAGAGCCCATAAGGATGTCCCACTACACGTGAACCAATATTTAATATTGTCAACTAACCGGCCGTCCCCATACCCCGTCCGATATGAGCGCCAAAATTATCATCCGTCAATACTCCGTCCGATATAAGGATGAATCGGACCGTTCCCATACCTCGTCCTGTATGAGTGTCAAAATACCATTTATCAATACCTCGTTCAGTATGAGACAACGTTCACGATAGGATTTTCTATATACCCGGTCCGTCTACCACCTCCCAGAATATCCAGTAAGGCTACCATTCATTAATTCACATGACCAAATAATTTTTCGTTTGCATATCAATTTTTAATTCCACAAATCAACCGTAAATCATGCAAGATAAGCAATATATATATAAAAAAAACACGATTAAATCATTTAACCATTCCAATATATCATCATATATTTAAATATATAAATTCAACAATTAGTTAAACAGGACAACGAATAAATGACTAACTTGTTCCGCCTCCATATGTAGCTTATAATTATTCTCAAAATTTTTTAAATTATACAAAATACCATATTACCAATTATTAAGCTTCAATTCCATAACAGAGAAAAAAGTGAGGAATTCTTACCCGA